ATTCGAATTGAAGCCCTGCAAGGACCAACGCGTGAGCATTTCAATTCGAATTTAAACCTTGCTTCGAGGACAACTTTCAGATTTTAGTTCGGGTCTAAGCTGCAGTCGGCATTCCCGGATTAAACTCGAATAAAACCCTTGCATAGGAAAGGGGCTTTAAATCCGAATTTAAGGCTCCCCAGCCCATGGTAGATTAAATTCAAATCCAAGATCCCTTCATACCGGGACCAGATTATATGTGGAATTAAATTCGAATTTATGCTTTCGCCACCGTAAATACCCGCAAAGCATTAAATTCAAATTTAAGCCCTCCAGCCGGGCTCCTGAACCCCACACAGAAAAGGCGTAATATCGAATTTACATCCACATTGAATCTGAAATTCTACCATAATCCGAAAGGGACTAGGGTAAACGAGGAACCGCGGGGCAAGCCGATCGAAAAGAGACTGAGTATTTGAGGAACAACAAGCAAACCGCCCGAAAAGGGCTGCAGTAGTTGGTACACGGTGAGCAAACCGCCCGAAACGGATTACGTAGAGTGTAAAGGACTAGAATACCTCCGAAACAGGGAACTAACTGCTCGAAAGGGACTAGAGTAAACAATTTGAAAAAAGTGGCTGGAACATTTGAGAAACAGGGCGCTTTCGAGTAGTTGAGAAACAGGGAACAAAGCACTCGAAAGGATTAGAATTCTTGAATATCAGGGAGCAAAAAGCTCGAAAGAAATCATTTTGTTGGAGAAACAGTGAGCAACAAAAGGAACACGAAGCAAACCGCCCTAATGGGAATGCAGTAATTCAGACACAGGAAGCAAACCGTTCGAAAGGGATGCGAGTTTTTGAGAAATAAAGCGCGCAACGCTCGAAAGGGACTAGAATCTACTGTAGAGTGTATGAGAAACAAAAAGCAAACCGATCTAAACATATTAGCGTATATGAGAAACAAGAACAAAACCGCTGGATTAGAGTATCTGAGATTCAACAAGCAAACCGCTCCAAAGGGACTGGAGAAATGGAGAAACCAAACCGCTCGAAAGGGGTTAGAGTTTTGAGAAGCAATCAGCAACCGGTTGGACAAGGACTCGAATGTTTAAGAAAAAATAATAAGCAGCCCGTTCGAAAAGGACTGGCGTATTGGAGAAACAGGGAGCACACCACTCGAAGAAAGGGGCTAGAACTTTCGAAAAATTAGGAGCACACCCCAGAAAGGGATTGCAGTATCTGAGACACAAGGAGCAAGCCGCTCGAAAAGGACTAAAATCATTGCGAAACGGTGAGCAAGCGGCTCGAGCAGGACTACAGTACATGTCAAACAACGGGCAAACTGCTCGAAAAGGACTAGAGCATTTGAGTAACACTGGGCAAACCGCCCGGAAAAGGAACTAGGTTACTTGAGAAACAGGGAGCAAACTGCTCGAAAAAGTTTAGACAACAAACAAACTGCTCGAAAGGGACTAGAGTATTTGAGAAGCAGGGAGGAAACCGCTCGAAAGTCACTCGAGTACCTGAGAAACACGGAGCAAAGCGCTGAAAAGGGACTGCAGTATCTGAGAATCAAGGAGCAAACTGCTCGAAAGGGACGAGAGTACCTGCGAAAACAACAAGCAAACCACTCGAAAGGGACTCGGGTGTTTGAGAAACAGGGAGCAAACCGCTCGAAAACGTTTGAGTTTTTGAAAATCAGTGAAAACACCTCCGAAAGGAACGAGACTGTGCGACAAAAAGGGAGCTAATCACACGAAAGGGACTAGAGTATTTAAGAAACAAGGAGTAAACCGTCTGCAAGCTCTCTTTGAAGCCTCCGTTTTTCCTTCCAAGCCCCTCAAATCTCCTTAAACACTCTTCAAGCTCTCTCAAGCTCCCAGTCGAGCCCCCTCTTGAGTGTTCGACCCTTCGTCTTCCTTTCTCCGCCTCCAAAGCCACAGCCCCCGCTTCAAGACTCTCTCAACGTCCACTCCAACGGTTAGACCCTTCAGTCTCTGGGAGGCTTGAAGCTGTCGATAAGGCCCAGCGTATTCTTAAGGCCACCTGTTGTTGTCACTCAACTTTGTTTGCAGTGCTGCCTGTCTGTCCTAACAAAGAGCAAACTGCTCGACAAGGTGCTAGAATTTTTGAGAAGCAAGGAACAAAGCCGCTCGAAAGATAATTCGAGAAACAGATAGCACAACGCTCGAATTGGACTAGAGTATGAAAGAAATGTGAGCAAACCGCTCGAAAGGGACTAGCGTATTTGCAAAACAAGGAAACCGATCAACAAAAACTTAGAGTATCTGAGAAACAGAAACCAAAGCCCTGGCAAGGGACTACAGTGATTGAGAAACAAGGAGCAGGCCGCTGGAAAGGAACTAAAGTATTTGAGAAACAGGGAGTGAACTGCTCCTCGGGCCCAAGTTCACAGCATTCGAAAAACAAAGGGCAACCGCTCGAAAGGGACTAGAGCGTTTGAAATCCGGGAGCAAACCGCTGGAAAGGGACTAGAGCAGAGTAAGTAGGAACAGGGAGCAAACCGTTCAAATGGGAGTAGAGTACGTGAGAAACAAGGAGCAAACAGTTCGACAGGGGCTGGGGTATTTACTCAACAATTGCGGAGCAAACCGATCGAAAAGGATTGCAGTCTTTCAGAAACAGGGAGCAAAACGCTCCAAAGGGACTAACTGTTTGAGAACCAGTGAGCAAACCGCTCGAAAGGGACTCGAGTATTTGAGAAAAAACGGAGCAAACTGCTGGAAACGGACTAGAATGTTTGAGACACTAGGAGCACACCGCCCGAAAGGGGCTACAGTCTTTGAGAAATAGGGAACAACCCGCTCGGAAATAAAAACAAGGAGCATACCGCTCGAAAGGGGCGAAAGTCTTTGGAAAACAAAAAGCTAACCGCAGGAAAGGGACGAGAGTATACTTGTTTCTCAAATACTCTACTCTGGTCGCGTTCGAGCGGCTATCTCCCTTGGTCTCAAACACTCTAGAAAACTTTCGAGCGGTTTGCTCCATGTTTCTCAGATACCGTGGTCCTTTTCCAGCGGTTGGTTCCCTTATTCTCGCACACTCTATTCCCCTTCAGGCTGGTTCCTTTCGGGCATTTAGCTCCCTGCTTCTCAAACGTTCTATTCCCTTTCGAGAGTAAACCCCTCTGTTGTTTTCGAGCTGGTTGCTTGGAGCGGCCTGCTCCCTGATTCTCAATAACTGCACTCCCTTTCGAGCGGTTTGCTCACTGGTTCTCATATACTCTAGTCCCTTTTCGAGCGTCTTACTCCCTGTTGTTCAAAAACCCTAGTTAACTCCTAGTCCTTTTCGAGCGGTTTGCTCCTTGTTTCGTAAATTCTGCAGTCCCTTCTCGAGCGGTTTGCTCCTTGCTTCTCAAATACTCTATCGCTTTCCGACGGTTTGCTCGTTGCTTCTCAAACACTCTAGTCCCCTTTGGAGCGGTTTGCTTCCTGTTTATCAAATACTCTAGCGCCTATCGAGCCGATGGCTCCCTGTTTCTCAAGCACTGTAGTCCTTTCAAGCCGTCTGCTCCCAATTTCTCAAAAACCTAGTCCTTTGCGAACGGTTTGCCCCTTGTTTCTCTCCCTGTTTCTCAAAACTCTGGTCCCCGGCTTGCTCTTTGTTTTGCAATCACTACAATCGTTTCGGGGCGGTTTGGTCCATGTTTGTCAAATGCTTTAATCCCTTCAGGGCGTGCTCCCTGTTTCTCAAACAACCTACTTGTTTTTGAACCGTTTGCTCCCGGTTTCTCAAACTCTGGTGTCCGTCCCTTTCGAGCGAAATGTTCCTTGTTTCACATCATTTTCGAGCGGTTTGCTCCCTGTAATTCAAACACTCTCTAGTCACTTTAGAGCGGTTTACACGCTGTTTTTAAAATACCCCGCTCTGGTCCCTTTCGAGCGGCTTGCTCCCTGTTTCTCTAACACTCTAGTCCCTTTCAAGCACTATGCTCCCTGGTGTTTTGGAACGGGTTGCTCAACGTTCCTCAAGTACTGTAGTCCCTTGCGAACGATCTGCTCCGTGTTTCTTAAATACTCGCGTCACTTTTCGAGCAGTCCATTGCAAGCGGCTTGCTACGCGTTTCTCAAATACTCAAGTCCATTTCGAGCAGCTTGCTCCTGGTTTTTCAAACACTTGCAGTCCCTTGAGCGGCTTGCTCCTGGTTCGTACATACTCTAGTCATTGTTGAGCGATTTGCGCTTTGCCCTTGCACGGAGCAGATCGTTCGCAAGGGACTAGAGTATTTGAGCAACAGGAGAAAGCCGCTCGAATGGGACCAGAGTAGAGTATTTTAGAAACAGGAAGTACACCGTTCAAAAAGAACTAGAAATGTTGAGAAACAGTGAAAAACCGCTAGAAAGGGATTAGAGTAGAGAAACAGGGAGCAAACCTGTCGAAAAGTGACCAGACCATGTGAGAAGCAACCAGCAAACCGCTCGAAAGGGACTATAGAATAGAATATGTGAGAACAGGGAGCAAGCCATCCGCTCGAGAGGGACCAGAGTGGAGTAGTGGAGAAGCAGGGTGTGCACCCCTCGAAAGGGACTAGAGTATCTGAGAAAAAAGGAGAAAACCGCGCGAAAGGGATCAGAGTTTTTGAGAAACAAGGATTAGAGTTTGAGAAACAGGGAGCATACCAAACCGCACGAAAGGGGTTCGCGCGCTTGAAAAAACAAAGGCCGAACCGCGAATAGGAGGACTAGAGTATTCGAGCAAGCCGCAATTCGTAGGAAAGGGACTATTCGAGTGTTTAAGAAACGCTCAGCAAACCGCTCGAAAGAGACGAGAGTGTTTAGAGGAACGCGAAAAACAACAGCTCGAAATGGACTATTCGGGGAACCGATTTTCACAGAGTGGGTGTATTGATACAGTATCTGAAATCCCCGATAAACCTGGAATTATGAGGCCTAGTCCAAGGTCTTAGTCTGATTGTTGTGTATAGATCGCTACTGTTTCCACTTTTCAAGCCAGCAATGAAGGAGCACGTATGAGGTCGCCGGTTCGGGTGCCGATGCGTCAAGCCGGACGACTAAAACGCCAGAGGCTAATGGGTAAGCCGGGTAAGCTGCATGTAATGCTAGCGGAACCCTCAATGCCGGAACCGCCTATAGTTTTACAGGGACTAGAAGGGGATGTCGCTACCAAATTATGTCCCAAACTCTTATAAACCCTGCACACGGTTTCAAGACCTTTAACGGAACCGGAAACCATGAAGGGGATACCACTACCCAGAACATCCAGCCTTGAGGCTGCCAAGACCCCAAAAAACGTCAGAATGCCAGCAAGGTGCCATTCGGGTCGGCGCTCCCGCATCTGATGGAAGTCCAGTGCCACGGCTGCATCGACGCCTAGGCTCTAAGGTTCTCGCTGAACCCAAAATTAAACCCGTGGAACCCCTGAAGCCCAGCATCTACGGCTCTAGGGTTTAAAGGCCCTAGGTCTTTGGGAACCCTAAGCCGGCCTTTGCCATAAAGCCCGTGAGTTTAGGGCCGTAGATGGCGGAAGATTCTTGTAGCTCTGACTTGAGTACCCGCCTCTGGGCCCGAAAGAACAAGAAACTTACCCCGCAGCCCAAACTTTACAGCCAATACACAATGAGCCCTTAAGTAGAGGATGACTAAACCCTGTAAAGAGTACGATGGATCATCCGAGCCAGGTGCTCAAGCACCCAAAACCGATCCCTGGGTCCCTATCCTAGGGGCTGAGTACCTTAGCCCAAAAAAGTGAATCACATAGTAGGATTATATAAGCCCAAAAAGGTTAAAGGTTACCTACTCAGCTTAAACCCTCAACCTGAACTCTGAATTTGTTAACACATTCTTCCCTGAACCGTCGAGACCGCGTAAGCCCAGAAGCCCTGCGCAGGCCCCAAAAAACCCCGAAGGCCCCCAAAAAAGCAGAGACCTGCGGTGGGGGGCGCCTATGCCGAAGTAGTTGCTCATCACCATGGGCTTCAGCCTTCGCTCCTTCACCTGACTCTACCCGGAACCCCGAAAGTATGTAGAAGAATGTAGAAGAAACAGCCTTTTTACGGGTTTTTTGGGCCATTGTTTTACCTACTTTTGGGGGCCCAAAAGTATGTAGAATCATCGCCTTTTTATGGGTTTTGTGGGCCATTATTTTACCTACTTTTGGGGGTTCAGGTATTGGCTATTGGGATTACACGCTATCAAGGGGTGCTCTGAAGTGCTACCACTATGGGGTGCTGGTGAGGGATATTGCTTGGGGTACTAAGTCGAAGGGGTGCTATAGGGGGTCATTGAAGGAGCACTAGAAGTTGTTCTTATTATGATGGGGGTGGGGGTGGGGTGAGTGTTTAAGGGATTTCGGTAAAGGTTGGGTTACGAGCTGCATTTCGAGCCGAGGGGGTGTAGAGGGCGTGGGACTGACAACCTGGAATGATGTATGAATTTAGAACTTGCTGCCAAAGTACTGCAGCAACTCCTTCGCCAAAACAACTGGAGCGCAATCGGGTGGAGGTCCATCCATGAGGGATGTAGAAAAGCACACATGCGAACCGACGCTCCTGATACCTCGGATTCTACGTAGATCCTTTGACACAGTCCAGCTCCTTAAAAAAAACAAGTCAGTCCCAGACACCCTAGGCACTAAGAACCAGTCCGCAGCCCCACAAGCCCCACAGGCTTGCCTTGCCTTACCACATAAACCCTGAAAGGCTATACGGTTCAATATCCCGTGCATTGATCGAAAACATCGCTGTATGGGTAGGGGTCCCTTTTGGGGTCCTTTTGTTTCACGGGGCCGTATTATTCTGGGGATCCAAATTAAAGGGACCCTCATTTAGAGAAATACCCATACTTTAAGTAACCCTCATTCTAGTACCCTCCTAGATTATATATATATATAGATCCCCTTAAGGAACCCCAAAAAAAAGGGGACCCCTAAATTTAGAGAACCACCCCTTCTTACGCTCGTCTGCAACAGGGAAGCCTGGGAGGTGCCGCCAGTGAGCCAAGAGGGCCGGAGGTCTTCCAGCCAACCTTCGCTCCGCCGAACTTTTCCCTAAAAAACCCAATATAGGGCCCCTAAAACAGCTTAGGGTTTTAGGGGGGCTTAGGGTTTTAGGGTTTGGGGGTTTAGGTTTTAGGGGTTTAGGGGTTTAGGGGTTTAAGGTTCCGTAAAACCCTAAAGGCCCTAAACCCCCCCCTAAAGCCTAAACCCTCAAGGCCCTATGAAATCCTCAACCGTGACCCGAACTCGGGAAACCTGAACTTCAGCACCGAAACCCTCCCACGCCCCTTGTTGCACCGAAACCCTGCAGGTTGAGGGTTGAAGGCTTGATGTTTCTGGCCCGGCAGTAATGTATGCAACATTGGGGGCCTCAACGATTTCTTGGGGTATGGGATAGTAGTATGCTCTAGTTCTACAAGAGCGAAAATCAGAGATTCCTACCAAAGCAGCAGCCGAAGCCCAGTCCGTGCGAAGGAGAAGTGGCGAAAGAAGCGGCCTTTAACCCTAAACTCCTTAAACTCCCTAAAATCACCAAAAGACACACAAATACACACATCGGCCCGAAGCTTAAGGCCCGAACTTGGGATCTGTGGCTTCAAGGTATAGATCTATTGAATTCGGAGTTTAGGGTCTGGGCTCTATGTTTAGAGCTTAGGCTTTAGGTTCAGGTTTTTAAGGGTTTGGGGGTTTCAGTTATAGAGTCGAGGCTTTAGGGTTTAGGGTGTTCAGGCTTGAGGCTTATAAGGGTTTAAGAAGGGTTTAGGGTCTCGCATGTTGCCTTCCCTCTAGATACAAATGCCAGAAATTGTGGACGTAAGTACCTTCAGCCCAGCTGTGCCTGAACAGCAAGCCCCAGGAACAGATTGCAAGAATCCTTCCTTCGTCCTCCCTATTCTGGCACCTACCCTGCCCCAGAAAGGATCCGTGCAAGGCAGGCTGCTGGAGGTGACCTGGGCTCAGTTGAAAACCACCGAAGCACACCGTAGCATGTAGCTTACCGATCCTTGCTCTCGCATTTTCCAGGGGGGCCAGACAGCCCGATACGCAATCATAAATGTCAACACCTTGTGCAAATACCGATACCCATAGGCTCCATAGTAGTTCCGTTTTGGGATTACCTTATAGGATCCTAAATACAAGCCAGAAAAAGGAACTATGGAGCCTATGAGTCAGCTCTGTCTTGGAAGCCAAGGCACCGTCCAGCGGTCGAGCAGCTCAGCATGAGCCTAAGCTTTGGTCCCAAAGCACTTTGGGAGCCGAATCCTGCAGCCCCAACCCTTCAAGCCCCGAAATTTGACCTAGACCTCCGAAACCCCAAATAACCTATAACTTTTAAAGGACTTATATAAAGGGTAAGGCCTCCAACCCTAAACGCTCACACAAAATCGACTCGAACTCCGAAGTCCCTCCTTCTCTGCCATGCTTTTGCCTTTTGGGCTTTGGGCTTCGGGGCTTTATGCTTTGGGATGCAAGTGTTGAGGCTGCTTGGGGTGTGGGGTTTACTGTTTAGGGTATGGAGTTTGGGATGGGAGCCCTAAACCCTCAACCCTAAACTCTTGGGACGTGGGGATTACGGCTCGGCTCTGCATCAAAGCTGGAACCTCAAAGCCCGGCAACGTACACCTGGAGGTCTATAGGGGTCTGCGTAGGGTCCCTTTTGGGGTCCCCTAAAGTCCCTTAAAGGGGGTCTGAGGGTTGAGGGTTCAAGGCTTATCGTCTAGGGGGGCATGTGGGCTTTCTCAACTGCAACCGTATCTGACGCCTAGGTACATAGGCACTTATGTAGGTAGGTAGGTAGGTAGGTAGGTAGGTAGGTAGGTAGGTAGGTAGGTATCTATAAGACATATGATCTACCTCATCGCCGCATAAGAAGTAGGTATGTATGTATCCGACAAAAGTGTGGTAACACTTTGGGGTGAATCGGCCAGGGTCGGCGCGAGGGGCGTGGTGAGGACGGAACATTCCGTGCTGGGCACATAGTCGAACTCATGTCCCATTATTTGCATTTATTTGCAGAGTCATGCGGCGGCATCCTCCGGAAAGCACACTTATAATGTTGGCGCCGGGCGCCCTTAAAACTCTCGAAACCCGCTAGACAAGGCGGGAAGCATCGTGGTCAGGGTTTCTAGATTCCAGAATACAGAATCCCGCCAGCACATGGGGGTGGGGAGGGAATTGCTGGGGGAAGTATTTTCGGGCCTCGGTGAAAGGAACACGGCTCACCAGACAACATGGGGAAGCACTGCGGTATAAGGGTGTCGGGAGAACGCGTAATCCCGCCGGTACAACGTCGTCGTCGTGGTGTTTGGGCATCTAGACTGGCGTGATGACACTAAGACTTGAACGGCCCACAACCCAACCCCACACCCGATGTAAGTCTCCAAATCCAGCCTGACATAGAAGCCAAAATAATTACAATGAAGCTTTGGAGCTTGTACTATGCCTACAATACTACCAGCTACGTATTTAGGAAAACCACGCTGTTTTGCGACCTCTAAACTCGTTTTCAAACGAATCAGGGGTCTGCGACCTCGTTCACTCGCTGCAGGACGGGAAGAACGCTGGAAGCTGTAAAGCCACCTCCCCATCCTCCGAACATGCGGGCCGCTATGAAAACTGTCGGGATTTAAGGCTTGGGGTTTTGGGTTTCAAAACTAAACCTAAGGGTTTTAGGTTTTTGGTTCTCAAAGCTAAACTTATGGGTTGAGGCGTTGCAAATGTAACTTCAAGAAGAAATACACCAACTTATCCTGGTATTCTGCTGGTCCTGTGACTCGAGCCAGGTCGTTCCCGGTGCCCAAAGGAAGGATTCCAACAGGAGGCAGGTAGGCCAACTCCTGAGCAAGAGGTTTCGAGGTCTACCCGCCCAAACGGGGCAGAAAACGGCACTTAAAACGAGGGTTTAGGGGGATATTGTTCGAGCCGTTTAGGCTTGCAGGCTTGGGGCGCAGTTGTTGTTTGGTCTCTAGAGCCAAATCAGGAAGGATGTTGAAGCCCAAAACGTTCTAAAGGTTGCCATGCATCTAACTGGTACAGAGCGCCGAGAACCCAGCCGACAGTTCCGTCACCGCCACAGACGAGGATACGGTACCTCCAGGAAAGGTATAGCTACGGGAGCTTCCGAGGTTCTTTAGGGCTATCCCAAACCCTGGAGCCCTCGAGCCGATCAACCCCGGAGCACCTTAGAACACCTGAGCACTGAAATACTAAACTTAAACCCTGGAGCCTTTTAACCCAAGTTCTTTTAAGCTCAAAGACTCCCGAAGCCCTGAACCGCAGTGAAGCCAGAACTCTGAACGTCAGTGTGAACCTGGACCAAAAACGAGCCCTTTGGTAAAAACTCGGTTGAACTTATACCTAGACCTAGTGCCCTCGAAAGAAACCCACGGACAGCGCACCTCAGGCCAGTTTTTTCCCACCACTTCAGTGCAGCTTCCGGGCCCTCTCGCTGCAGATCCACCACTTGCCTGAGTCTTTGGGATCTTGAGCCTTTGAGGGCCCGACAGCCTCAAGATGTCATACCAGAACCGAAGGACTCCATGACATAAACCGGACTTATACGCCCCTGCCTCCCCTTCCAAAAACCTTGAGGCGAGGGCTTCGAAGGTGCCGGGTTGAAGATTACATGCAGACTGTTACATCAGCTAGAAACGGAGAGCTGCAGGTAGAAACTTTGAGCTAGCTGCGCAGGGGCTTGGGCGCAGCCTTCTTCCGACCATGCTCGTGGGGAACACTGCCAAGAGCATCGGGCTTACGGCACCTAAGACCGGCCGGGGCTAGGCCGAAGTCGGAAAGCCAGAAGCACCCCTTATCAGAAAGCCCATCGCCACGGCCACCGGGTACCTTGTTTGTCGTAAGGATGATACCGGCTAGGGCTGGGGTTCATATCAGGGTCCCGTATTCTCTGAAACTCACGCACGCTGCAGTCAGTCTCCAAGCCCAAAACCCTAAACCCAAAACCCCTTTAAACCCTAGAAGCCCTATAAACCCTATAAGCCCTATAAACTATATATACATCCAATAAACCCTATAAAGCCCTTCGCCCAAAGCCAGAGGTGCAGGGTGTGGAGGTAGTTCCTCATCTCCGTCATCACCTTGAAGCCCTGCTGGCCCCCACTTCCTTAGGTTATTTAGGGTTCAGGATTTAGGGGTTTAGGGTTTAGGGTTAAGGGCTATTCAGGATTTAGGATTTAGGGGCTTAGGGTCTGGGGTTCAGGGCTGAAGGCTTACTTACTTTTCATGATCTTGGCCTTCTTCTTTGCTTCAGGTGTCAAGGTTTGTTGTTTGAGGTGGGCTTTGTCGGGAGTTTTGGGCTCCTCTTGGGGTCCGCTGATATATAGGTTGTTAGTTTTGGGTTGAATTTGAATCATGTACTAGGGCTAGGGGGTTGGGGGGCTGGGTGGCTTCATGACCTGTATCCACTACTTGCGGCAGAATTAGGGTTCAAGTTGCGTTCGGGGTTTTGCGGACTGTATCCAGGAATGAGACTTGCTGCATTCGGTGTACCCTAAACCCTAAAATGTAGCTTGGGGTTCAGGGTGCGGCAGATTACGAGCCAAGACTGTGCATGTGCACTCGGCTGGAGGCCACTTGTAGGGTTTGGGGGTATACTTGTAGAACTTCCTGGCCTCCTGAAGCCTCGAACCTTCTCATCTTCGGTGTGAACCGCGAAGCCTAGATACAGCCGACATTGGCAAACAACATCAGGACATAAATTGTAGCCACTGTCCCCTAAAGCCTAAACCCTGCAAGCCCTAATCGGCCCTAATCTCTCTACCCAAGAAGCCCTAAAACCTTGATACGCAAAAGGAGCTCTTCAGAAAGTCGAGCGGGGTACTCCTGATCTCCAGCGCTGACCGAAGCCTATTAGCCAAATCCTAGACATATTGGGGACGAAGCATTCATTCACCGATACGTTTAGGGGAAAAATACCTTTTTTCCCAATCTGTTTAGTGCTCTGGCCTGCAATGACGCGCCAAAGGTTCAAGAGCTCAGGGGCTTTTGTGGCTCAGCAGGCTTTCAACCCTGAAACCGCTTTAACCTCAGCCACCACCCGGGCCAAGGAGGATTCAAGGCCTGAGGCCAACAGAAGCGAAACAACGAAAGATACGCCGTCGATCTTGATGCTTAAACTCAAACCGTGACTGCAGAAGATTCCACATTCCTGAATCCTCGGCAACATAAAGCCCGAGCACCCGCTTTTGTCTAAACTCCTGAGGGCTAGGCTTCAACATGAACGGCCAGGGTACGGGTGTTGACGAAAACCAGGACCGGTCGGCAGTCAACTTGGTTCAGGCGTTCGGGGATCACCTGCAGCTGTCTGGCGGCCGAAGGCTGGTCGGTTTAAACGTGCCATGAACTGCTTTCGGAGATCTAGGTCTGTTGTGGGCATTTTTTAGGGAAACAATATCTTCCGTTGGACAAGTTGATGGATGTTGCGCTCGGATATGAAATGGTGATACAGAAGAAGCCCAAAAGTTGGAAACCCAATAGCCTCAATCCTTAAGAATATTGTGTAGGGAATCTCATCACGATTAGTGCCAATCTGGTTTCTAACTTTTTTTGGAGGGAAGCCAAGCCCACCCTACACCCTGAACCCTAAGCCCTGAATCCGGGAGGCGAGTGGAGGGGAGGGAAGGAGAGTGAGGGGAACCAGGCCTGCCGATGACTCCACCGTGCCTCCGGGCCTCTGGGAATCACCTTCTCCATTGCGGCCTGGCAGTCGGAGGGGCTTCCGGACTCTCGGGTGTGTTGGGGGTTTTGCGGGTTCAATTAGCAGAAGCAAATGTGTAGGGCCTAGGGTTCGGGCCGCAGAGTTGTGGGCGGGGTTCTCGTGAGGTTGACTTTGGGAGCAGAGGGGCAGCATGGGAAGTGGCAGGCTCCACTCTCTATCGTCGTTCAACACAGCGCAAGAAGAATGCACGTGGCCCTCTGCCTCTTTCGGTATGTTTCGAACTACTGGAGACCAGAAGGTACATGGCCTCTGTGTGTGTGTGTGTGCGTGGGTGCGTCTATACTTGTAGTTTTGCGATAGCGGGCGAGCATAGGGAACATGGCGGTCTAAAGTTTCGGCCATCCACTCTACAGCCCGCACTGTTGGTGAACATAGGGCCGTAAGGTATTGGAGCAACCCCTCTGCAATATAGTTTTACGTGGCGATTCAAGGGAGAACATGATTATGCAGTGCCTTCTTCCGCAAAGTATCATGAACACTGATCGATACAGTGTGCAGAAAAAAGCGTCTAGACTCTAGACTCTTGGGGTTTAGGACCTGGGGTGTGGGATCTAGTGTGAGTCTTTAGGTGCACGTGGAGAGCGGGCTGAAAGCTGTGGGCTGGGACGGTCGTCGGAGGGAAGGTCGAGACTTTGCGAAAGGTCCAACACACTCCCAAAGAGTCCGAACCTGCAAGCTCCAGGCTGCACTTTGGGTCACGGCAAGATCGAGTCATGAGCTCCGGTTCCCAAGGCAAAACTTCCGGAAGGAGGCTTCGGTCTGCACGACTTTCGGAGCTTAAAGGCTTGAATGTTGAGGGTTTCGGGGTTTGAGGGTTTTCTGGCGAATGACTCGGACCTGGACAAGCTTGGAAAACCGAGTGGTCGGGAGGAAGGGTGAAGACTCCCTACACAACTGTGAACCCGGACCATGTATAAACCCTTACAAATGCTTCAGACCTGTGTAAGTCCATGAGGACTCAGGGTGAAATGCCAACATCCAAACAATCTATGCACAAAATCCAATAGACCTCATATATCCTGATACTTTTCTCGCTTGGGCATAGATCTAAACTGTGGAAAAAAACCCCGAGCAAGAAGCCCAGTCCAGCTTTCGCGCGCCTTGGCGGTGACATGGAGAAGGTCGGTAGCGGTCGTGCGCCAGTCAGAGACGCCGGGTATCGCAACGGAACGGGAGCTCTTCTTCGCCTCCTCCGAGGCTTTGTGTACGGGCTTTCTGCAGGGAGTAAGGAGCGGCTTGCGGCATTTGAGGTGCTGGGGCTTCTAGATCCGGGGCTTTCGGATTCCGATCTGCGGATTAGAATTTGGGACTATTCTTTCTTGGAAGGTAGGAACCTCCACATGACACAGAACAAACATGAAATCGTGTGCGCAGCGCCGGTCTTCATCTTTGTCTTTGTGCGCATCTCAGGAATCTCGTGCGCCGTCTCCACGCCACCCGCACTGAGCTCTATGGAACTTGCCACAGAAGGTGGCAAGAGCCCCATAACATGAGGCGTGATGATACGACTATTCGAACAACCCCGGAGCTTCTGAGAAGTCCTCTGGCACGGTTTGCACGCAGTTTGCCGGCAGAACCAGACGCCGTAACCTTCTTTGATCTCGGCGGCTGCCGATCATCTGCAAGTCCATGCCCGTGGATGGGTTCTCCTTACTTCCCCGATGCCCAACAGAACAAACGTTGGAATACCAAAGATGCCGAATCATAAAAACGCAAGCAGTTCTCAAAGGCTCGTAGTTGAGACAAGTCTCTCGCAGCAGTAGCAGCAGCGCCGACACGAGAAACCCCATGCCGGCAGCCAGAACTAGAAACAGCCATTCGTCGCTTCGCTGCCGCAGATCCAAAGCCTGTGCCCATTCCCAGTCGACTGAAGCACCCTGCATGGCGGGCCGAAGGTATGTACATGGTGCGTCACGGACCTTCTGGAAGCTAAACAAGAGACGCAGGAGGTTGGGGGCTAAGTTGGGCAAATTTCGAATAGAGCACCGGGAGCATAAAAACCCCTAATTCGGCCCTATAGGCTCGCAATCATGGTCTCCTACCGAAGTCAGAAGCAAAGAACCCCAAACATCAATTCCAAGGGTCCCTCCTCAAATCAGGGATGCCTAAATCTGGAGCTTCGGGTTACGGGTGTTCCCTCAATCTGGGCTCGACGTCGTCCGAGCTGAATTGCTGCAGCGAGTTGGTCCTACAGGCCGCGGGCATTCATCGGTCAGTCTGCCGTCCAGCCCTCGATCAGGCCATCATAAATCCATGTACGCATGCATGGGCAGATAAATGGGCGGATGCATGCAAACACAGATAGGTGGATGGAGGGAGAGATGCTGAGAGACAGAGGGAAAGAGAGAGAGAGAGAGAAACAAGCCATGTAAGCATATGTACATACGCTTCATGCTGACAGATCGATAAGCATGTACCTGTATAATGTATGACTATAGGCGCATATGTTCGAGTGGCCAAGCACGTAGCAAAGATGCGCAAACATAAAAGGAGCAATTGCTGATCGTCTGCAGCCTGCGCCGAGAGTTTTCGTGACTTTTCAAAGGTTCCTAGTCTGACGGTAGAAGCACGTCATGCGAGCAGATTTGTTTTGGCATGTCGAAACCCACTCGTATGTTTTCGAAACCCTTTTTGTCGTTTTTGTCTGTCGGTCTGTCGACTCGTCGGGCCTCACAGAGTCTTGTGGAGGCTTCGTTTTGCTTTGAAGTGACTCAAGCCTGTTTGCTTTCGCCGGAGCTACAGCAGGATGCCTAGCACCAGTTCAAGTGTTTAAAGAGCTGATGCCCAAGTTTGCTGCGAGTGCTCAGAGGCTGTGGAGTGTCTCAAGTCCAGGGAGCTGTGTACTTAAGCCTCGCCCGGCGAGGCTCAAGGCTCGGACTGCTCAAGCATAACAGTGAGAAAAGTGTGGACCGTGCCCGCCCGGTCTGCGTTGGGCCCTCTGAGATTCCTGTAAGACCCCTCGGAGACCAACGTGGTAGCGGAGCTTCGTGCTCCTAGCCAGCCATGGCAAACCATGGCTCTGACGGTGCGCAGAGAGACCGCACTCCGAGAGGGAGGAGTCGAGACTCTCACGGACGTAGGGTTTGTGGCTGTAGACTCCGTTGGACTTGTTTCGGTTACTACGTGTAACCGACAAGTCGGGAGAGGCTTCGAACGCGATGCCTTCACGACGTCAACCCGAACCTCTTAACTCACAGTCCATAACTCTTTGAGCTACTACCGGATTTGAAGCCCAGGCCAGGGCGAAACCCCAAAAACTCCCCCTCGAAGGTCATGAATAGAGGGTTTTGGGGTCTGCTAATGTGTGGCTTTTATAAAAGACAATGAGAAGCAGATTGATACTACTTCTTTCGATGCCTTTCGTATCTCTCCCCAGGGACCCCCTGGGGATCTTGAGGGGCCCAAGAGCACTTGTCGGTTTCAGGGTTTAGGACATGTATCTCTCAGTCCCTGAAAGCCTTCTTTCGGGCTTCATAAAAGGGCCTTAGTAAGGGGCTCCAGAATGGGTTTAAGTGAGGACGTTTAGGGTTTAGAGTGTTGGTGTTTAGGGTTTGGGGAAAGCGGGTTGAAGGGCTTGCGCTGGTCTCTAAACGACTTGCTGATGCGAGTTCAAAGTTTCAGGGTTTAGAGCATCAACCAAAACCAACCCAGTTGCCGTGATGCCCGAATGTGCACACAGTGGTGAGTCTGCACGTTGTGACGCTATGCTGCTCTATTTCGGGATCAGACGAAACATGATCCGCTGTCTAGGACTTCTGGATTGAAGGAATAAATAACATTTAGGGTTTAGGGGTTTTAGGGTTTAGGGCTTAGGGGCTTTAGGGATTAGGGTTTAGGGTTTATGGACCCCTTCGGGTCTATAGGGCTTACGGCGTACGGCGTACATCACAGACCGTTGCCTTCAAAGGTTGGCCTTGAAGTAGACATCTAGCTAGCTCTGCTGACACATACCTTCCCAATGTAGCGGCCTCAACAACGAGTAATCCATCTGCTGCCTGAATAGAAACAGACTCCAAGACTAGCCTAAAACCATGTTGAAATCATTTAAGGCCACGGTACCCAAACAACCCTTAAGGCCCCTCGAGCCTTGCTGCAATCATGTCCCGTGTATTCCCCCTAAGCCCTGAGTCGTCGATGGCTTTCCCAAGCTGAGGCGGCCGCCCACAGGCCATCGCTTGCCAACATAACGCTCGGTAGTCGGCAAGATTGCCATTTACCTGCAGCTGGAGAGGGGATTTATGGGGTTTAGTACTTGGGCCCTGATGGCTAGAAAAAGCTTCTGAGCTCTGTAAAGAAGGTACATATACACCGGGCTATTCGGGTCTAAAGCCCCCTACACCCCGGAGGCGAAGCACAGGCTCAAACCCTAACCTCAGCACCCTAAGTTCAACAGCCCTAAACCCTCCAACCAAAGCACAATCTAATCCTAACCCCAAAGCCGGAAGAAAACCCCCTGAAAGCCTCACACCTCATGCTCGCTGCGGCAAGGTAACACTCCAGGGGTGCACTCACCAACATCTCCAAGGATCTTTTTTCTGGCACTCAACTACTTCCCTGTTCGTCTAAGTCTAAACTCTACTTGTAACGGTTACACAGGGTCTCCTACGTTTCGGGAAACCGAATGGCTCCAGTCCCTGCGCCAACACCCTCCGGAACCAAACGAGCGAACCGAAGATCTCCAAGCCTCCGAGCACCTACACACAAACCCAAGACCCTAAACCATGAACCCTAAGCCCTTAGCAAAAATAAAACAAAAACTCGCTAGAACCAGCGCCAGTCCCTTCGCCGCTCCTGCCTGTCATGTTCGAAATCTCTGGCTCAGCACTGACTCCGTACCTGCTGTGAGCACGGCTTCATAAGCTTTCCTGTTTTTGGGACACGATGTGGCTTTCTAATGAGCTTGATGAGGGTTTTGGGGTTGTGGTGGTTGGGATTTCGGGCTTTTTGAGGCGGCTCAGGGTTTAAGGGGGTTTTGGTGGCCAGGGCTTGGGGTGTTCCATGCAAGCAGTGCCATCAGGCAGAAGCTTTATGCTTTTAGGATTTACAGTAGAGCTTCTGCTGGGGTTTAGAGGTTCTTCCGGCCTCTCTGTGGGAGCCTTAAGGTCTTAGCTTCAGCCTTTCGGTCGGAGGTTAACTCTTGCGAGAAGAACCTTGCGAACTCGAGATGACGCCGGTTCCGGTGCTCGGGGTAAAGGAACCCTTTTCTACCTGCTCCTAAGGCGCAGAAACAACATTCCAGCTACTCAGGCCCCCTTTCCCTAAACCCACCAAATTTCCAAAATCCCTGGTAGATCTCTTTGAAGACCGCAGTAAAGGAACCCTTTTCTACCTACTTCGTAAGGCCACTGTATTCCTGGGTCACTTCTTCAGGCAGCCATCGCCGAGGGATCTCGACATCGCGAGCCCTGGCACACCTGTCCTCAGGAGGTTGCTGGGGCTCGGGGGTTTGGATTTTGACGGGCCTAAAAATCCATGAATGTTACTATTGGGGTTACTATACGCTGGTTGGGGTTTAGGTTTTGGCGGGGCTTGGGTAGGGTTAGGGTTTCTGGTTCGGGCCGCAGGGTTTTAAGTTTAGGGGTTTTTGGGTTTCGCTTTTTCGGGTTCAGGATGTTCGGCAGCTCTCGGGTGTATGGAGTTTGTGGTGAGGACGTTTTGTTTGTTTTTTGGCATTTTTTTTTTGTGGGGGCGGGGGGGGNNTCATCAGCATCGTCATCTCCTTCTTCGGCAGTATGCACGTCGCTGTTTCCAGTATGACTGTGATGATGACGTATGACAAGTATGATGGTCGCACCACCCCTGCCGGGCAATGCGTGCAATCACCCAGTGCCGCAAACCCAGAGACCTGGACCGCGAGCCTGCAAGTCCAGATCTCCTCCTAAAGCCTTCAAATTTCAGCGCCGACTCCCCAAAGGCCACCAAACCCAAGACTTCGGGAGCTCCCAAAGCGGAGAACTTTGAGCCTTGGAACCTCGAGCCCTACATCAGAGACTCCTCCAGATTTCGACGACATAAACAAAACACCCTGGTCCACA